CTGGCAACAGCTTGGGTGGGCCTGAAAGTTGGGTGGGGCGGGGCCTTAGGGAATCACCAGGGCAGGGCAACCAGTGTGAGCCAGGTTGCTGGAGTCCCAGATATGGCAACTGTCTGCTGCCCCAGAGAAGGGCTCACCAAAGAAACAAAGACCTCTGACAGCACGTCTGTCCCAGAGAAAGCCCCCTCTCCAGCCCTCGCTCCAGTGCCAAACAGCTCAGTTCTTTCCTGTATGTCTCTGGTGCCCCTCGAGCTGCCTCCCCTCCAAGCTCAGAGGCAGTGAGTCCGATAAGTCTATGCGCAGGCCCTTTAAGGAGCTGCCTGGGTCTCCAGCCTCCTCAGCCTCCTTGAGCCTCAATTCCCGCTGGTTTTCCCAGCCAGAAGTTATGGGGACTTCTCTTCCTGGTACTGGAACCCTGAGCAGGGTGCCTTGTGTGATGGGGACCCCTCAGTCCTCAGGGAGGACCTTCCCAACCGAGGTGTCCTCTTGATTTTTATCCGCCACACGTGGGTGTGGGACCAGCCCGTCCGCCTCTGCCCCTCCTACCAGTCTGGATGTGGCTGCTGCTTTAATTCCGTAGTTGTAGGACTTCCATTCAGCTTGGTTTCAGGCGGTTTTGAATGATAGTTTTCTGTAGTTTAGTTGTAACTTTGATGTGGTTGTGGGAGGACACGGTACCGCAAAGTATATGATCACAATTTTAAATCCTTGTGGGCAAGTATGGCTAAAAAAACCTGTGTGGTGGTCACATGACAAAGAATATGGACAGCCCTGGCCGGTTTGGCTCAGCGGTTAGAGCATCAGCCTGTAGTCCAGAGAGACCTGGGGTCGGTTCCTGCTAAGGGCACGCACCTCAGTTGCAGTTTTCCCGGCCCTGGTTGGGTCATGTAGGTGGCAACCACTCGATGTGTCTCTTTCACGTTGATGTTTCTCTCTCTCTTTCTCTTCCTCTCTCTTCTTCCCACTCTATCTGAACAAAAAACGAAAAAATGTCCTCAGGTGAGGATAAAAAAAAAAAAAGAATATGGACCGAAAATTCAAATAGTAAAATATTCTGTGAAAATAGTACTTGAAATGCCAATTAAAACAACTATATGACACTATTATATACATAATAATTTATAACAATTATAAATCACACTTGCAAAGTATACAGTGGCCCTATAAATTGGTACACTTTCTGAAAAGTTGTCTGACAATATAAAATAATAACCATAAAATCATCATATTCTTTTTTCTAAAAATTCCAGTTCTGGCAATGTCTCTAAAACAAGCAAAAGAAGAAAAACAAGACTTGTTGAAAGTATTTATAGAGCATTGTTTTAAAAAGAGTGGGGGGAAAAAAAGCCTTCAAACAGGGCTGCCATATATTAATTAGTGCAGTATTGAGCAGTTATTAAAATGGTACAGAAATATAGAAAAAGGAGATATGAAAAAACTTGTCATAACAATTTACATGCATATTGCATATGCTACATTTTTTTTAAAATATGTTTTTATTGGTTTTTTAGAAACACAGAAAGGGGGTGAGAGAGAAACATCAATGTGAGAGGAAAACATTGATCAGCTACCTCCTGCATGTCCCCTACTGGGGATTGAGTCCCAAACCCCAGCATGTGCCCTGACTGGAAATCAAACCAGGACCTCTAAGTCCATGGGACACACTCAATCCACTGAGCCACACCAGCCAGACATATGCTACATTTTTTTAAAAAATGGCCCTGGCCGGTTTGTTCAGTGGTTAGAGCATCGGTCTGTAGTCCAGAGAGACCGGGTTCGGTTCCCGCTAAGGGCATGTACCTCGGTTGCAGTTTGTCCCCGGCCCTGGTTGGGTCGTGGGAGTGGCAATCACTCGATGTATCCCTTTCATGTCGATGTTTCTCTCTCTCTCCCTCTCTATCTGAACAAAAAATGGAAAAATGTCCTCGAGTGAGGATAAAAAAAAAAATGTACATACATGGATACAGAGGCTATAAGTGACTATATATAGCAAGGTAATGTGGAACTTCTTTGTTTCAATAGAGTTTTTGAAACATTTCAACAAAAGGAAGTTAAAGAGACGAAAAATCTTTTTCACACTGCATTTAAGTCTATGATATCCTTTCCAGCTACATCACCATTCCAGATTGAGTGCTAACTATGATGGCTAATCCTGATCTTCCTCCTCAACAGGCAGCATGCTTTGGGAAGTCACTTATAGGAAGAAGCTTAGAGAAAGAACTTATTTTACACAGAAGTGCATGGGAAATGATGTTATTCCTCACCTTGGTGTGAGGAGCGAAAATGTTAACGTTATTAGATGTTGCCTTCACAGAGGTGTCTCCTGGTCCCGTCCAAGTGCATAAATTGTGGATGTGGGATTTTCAGTCTCCCTCAGGAGTCAGTGTGCTTGCCACATTACTAAATGTGTGAATTTGGGCAAGTTTCCTAACCTCTCTAGCTCTCAGTTTCCTCATCTGTAAAATGGGAGTGAAACCAGCTATCTCAAAGGGTTGTTTAGATGAAATGAGATAATATATATGAAACATTTGCTATAGGGTCTGGTTTCTAGAAGGTGCTCCACAAGCAATAGCTGTTACTGTTTTTAATTATAATTATGGTCTTTCCAGGAAGTATTTCTGCACTGCCGGGTCCTTGTCTGCAGAATGCTGGAGGAGCGTTCCCGCTGTGCCCAGGGCTGCCACCGGCGGATGCGTCGAGAGGCAGGAGGAGAGGACACTGCTGGTCCTCAGAGCCAGATGCTGACAGGCGGCCCAATCAGCATCGACTGGGAGGACTAGGATGCCCGAACCACCAACTCCTGGCTTCGGGCTGCCCACCCGTCTGGAACTTCTCCCCATACCCCTGAGAACATCAGTCAACACACTAGGACACTGCACTCCTTTAGACCTCATACTGTGGGTGTAAACAAACTCCCAGAACCCACTCACTCTGAGTCTGGCCCAGTGGGTCAGGAGAGGTCAGCTCACTGCTGACTGGCCTGACCTTGTTTGGGCTTCATCCTCCAAGGTGGAAAGCTATGCAGTCTACACAGAAAGCAGCTCACCCCATTCCCTCTGTTTCTTTTCTGCAATAAAACCCCTTGTATACATGTACAGTATAGGACCACTAAAATCAGACCTTGGGTATAATATTTCAAATTAAGAACTTAAAAAAATTAAATAGTTGCTTGAAACTATGACTTAAATACCCAATGACTCCTCAAATATGTAAATAATATTATACCCTGAAATTCAATTCAAATACAGAATAGTTACAGGGGATTTGGAAGTTTGTCAATATGTGTGTACTGAAAAATACTATTTGGTTTTTCTCTTGCACAGTATTTTTTTTAATGTTTTTATATTGTCTCAAGTGAAATATCTTCAATTAATGTGTTAATAAATTTATTAACATGCATTTAAGTGGTTCAATGACTGAACTGTAGGCAAACTTAAAATTTGGTATCATATGCCTTCCTACTTGGCATTCTCTGCCCTCTGATAAGACAACAGGAAAGGTATAAAATTATGCCATACTCTATTTTGTAGGCACTTAATAAATTTTATTAAAATAAATAGCATAAACCACAGAGATAAATGTTATCTGCAGTTAAATTCAGTTTCTTAATATGCAATTAACTTTATGGGTTTATGTAAGACTAGAAAACAGTTTTTTCTTCTTCTTCTTTTTAGAAATGCTACAATCAACAATTCCTAATGGAACCAGTAAAATTAACAAAAGGAAAGGAAAGGAGAAGGGGACCTCGATCAGGGTTTTGTTGACTTTTTCTGTAAGGGCCGAATGGTAAACACTCTGGGCTCTCTGGGCCATGCGGTCTTTGTCACAGCTCTGCTCCTGTAGCACAGGCGCTGCCGTAAACATGTGCGCATGGCTGTGTTCCAGTAAAATTTTACAGTAGCAGGTGCTGGGCCTGATTTGGGCCACAGGCTGTCGTTTGTCGACCCCTGACCTTAGCGGCCCTCAGTATTCACAGGGCATCAGAGTTGCTTTTATAAATTACCAATACAGGCAGACCTCAGAGATATTTCCAGTCTGATTCCAGACCACAATAATAAACTGAGTATCAAAAGCTAGTCATAATCTTTTTTCTGGTTGAAGGTCTTGCCTTCAATTTGTAAAAAATGCAACATCTATGAAATGCAATAAAGCCAAGTGCAATAAAAGGTGTGCCTGTAGGTAGGTACCACCCCCAGAGACTCTGTTTCTAGTGCTCCTCGGGTGATTCTAATTTGCCATCAGGGTCAAGAACCACTGTTTGGGGAATGGCCATTTGTCTCTCACTCCCCTCAGATTTTAGGGACTTTTCCAGTGGAAGTTTTTACCAAGTGCTTCTCAGATCTTAACATGACATGAAGACCACCTACTACTTGGGTATGTCAACAGGCATAGTTCACTGAAGGAAAGAAATGGAACCTCAGAGACCGAACTCCATCTGATCTTCACCTCCATTGGCTTTAATCAGGTAAGCCTCCGACCACCAGTTCTGATCTCTTCAGTACCAGCAGGAATAACTGTTATCATTGATGGAAATTACCAGGTTGGGTTCTGTTTTCTTCTAAGTGAAATGGAAGCATGCTGGTGGTAATGGAATTCATTCATCTCTTTCCAAATTTTCTAAAAAGTACACTTTATTGTATGTGAGATGCTTACTGGAAACTGAAACATAGACCAGAGGAAAGTCATTGCCTCCCAAATGGTTGGACTCTCCAAAATTTAACTTATGAATATAATGATCAAGTCCAGGAATCCCAATATTTAGTCCTTATTTTAGTCTTTAAGCTAAAAACTGAATTTCCAGGCAAATGTGTCTTGGCTGGGGAGGCCTGTGTCAAAGCGATGAGTAGCCTTCAGATAACTCTATGTCTTTTTTCCAGTTCTCCTCAAAGGATGGGACTCACTTTCCAGCTGTAAAATATTTCCTTTCTCCTGCTTTGCAGTATCCAAACTCTTGGAAGAAAGGGTGAGACATTTCTGCCACACTACCATCTCCGAGACTGACAGCTGTGGTGTCACTCAAAACCAAAAAGGAACCACCTCTTCCTTATAACTCTTCTTTCTCCTCTTCTGCACAGATGCAGGCTGCCCGCTGACTATTCATGAAGGGTCGGCAGCCCAAGGTCCATACAGTATTAAACACGGTATCAGCCAGAGAATCACATGCTACTTGAAAAAGATGTAGAGAAACAGAAAGATTAATATATAGAACTACCCCCAAGTAGTATGAGTAGTTTTAAAGAGGCAACATATTTCCAAGATTGACATGATACCCAGAGGAAAGTAGAGGCAATGATCTGAAAACAGAATTCAAAGGAAAAGCATACATATAATAGAAGGTTTTTCAGAGAAGCTTCCATCCAGTCTAGTAGAGTAGAATACACGTTGGAACCTGGCCAGGTAGCTCAATTGGTTAGAAGGTCATCCTGATATGCCAAGGTTATGGGTTTGATCCCCAGTCAGGGCACATACAAGAATCAACCAATGAATGCATAAATAAGTGGAACAACAAACTGATGTTTCTCTCACTCTAAAAATCAGTCAATTAAAAACAACAGCACTTTGGGGTACCCTCCTTTTATGGGCCTCCAGGTCAAAACCAGGGTTAGCAATCAGCATCTTCCATACTGCTATGCTCACTCCATGGAAAATTTACAGTTTTTGCAGAATACTCACTCAGATAGCACTACTGTTTCCTATAGTTTTTCCTATTCAACTGTGGGATGATTAATCATTTACTCATTGAAAAAACAGGTATGCCTGTTAGACATGTTGGTCAGCCACTCTGTTAGGCATCAGGGACACAGAGACCAAAGGGATCCCAACTCACAGATGTCACAGTTTGGACAAAGAGGATGACAGGATACACAGATAAACAGATGGTTACACTACACCATAGTGGAAGGTTCACCGAGGCAGTATGGGAGCCCACAGCAAGGGTCTCTATGCCTTTGAGGGTAAGGATTATTACAGAAAGTACCTCAGAATACCTTCTATTGGAATTTTGATAGGGATTGCATTAAATCTATAGATTCCTTTGGGTAGTATGGACATTTTTTTTTTTTAATTTATTAATTTGAGAGAGAGGAAGGGAGAGAGAAAGAGAAAAAAGGAGAGAAACATTGATCTGTTGCTCCACCCATTAATGCATTCATTGGTTGCTTCTTGTATGTGCTCTGACTGGAGATAGAACCTGAAACTTTGGTGTATCAGAATGATGCTGTAACCAACTGAGCTACCTAACCAGGGCTATGGACATTTTTAACAATATTAATTCTTCCAATTTATGAGCATGGACTATCTTTCTTTTTCTTTTCTTTTTTAAATCCTCACCCAAGGACATTTTTGCATTTATCTTCAGCTAGAGCGGGAGGGAGAGAGGGAGGAAGAGAGAGAGAGAGAGAGAAACATCGATGTGAGAGAGACACATTGAGTGGCTGCCACCTACACGACTCCGACTGGGGCTGGGGACAAACTGCAACCAAGGTACATACCCTTAGCGGGAACTGAACCCGGGACTCTCTGGTCTGCAGGCCGATGCTCTAACCGCTGAGCCAAACTGGCCAGGGCTGGACTATCTTTCTATTCATTTGTTTCTTCTTCAGTTTCTTTCATATATGCCTTATAGTTTTCAGTGTATAAAACTATTTAACCCCCCTTGGTTAAATCTATTTCTAGGTATTTTATTCTTTTTTTTTTTTTTTATTTTTTTATCCTCACCCGAGGACACATTTCCATTTTTTTGTACAGATAGAGTGGTAGGGAGAGAGAGGAAGGGAGAGAGAGTGAGAAACATCGACGTGAAGGGACACATTGAGTGGCTGCCACCCGCACGACCAACCAGGGCCGGGGACAAACTGCAACCGAAGTACGTGCCCTTAGCGGGAACCGAACCCGGGTCTCTCTGGACCGCAGGCCGACGCTCTAACCACTGAGCCAAACTGGCCAGGGCTTTTATTCTTTTTGATGCAATTGTAAATGGGATTTTAAAAAAATCTTTCTGATAGTTTGTTATTAGTATATATAAATGCAAAATCTTTTTGTATATTAATTTTGTATCCTGCAACTTTACTGAATTTATTAGTTCTAACAGCTTTTTGGAGGAGTTGTTAGGGTTTCCTATATAAAATATTATGTCACCTACAAATAGTGCAGTTGTATGTCTTCCATTCCAGTTTGGATGACTTTTATTTCTTTTTCTAGCCTAATTGTTCTGGCTAGGATTTCTAATACTATGTTGAATAGAAGTGGTGAGAGTGGGTATCCTTGACTTGTTCCTGATTTTAGGGGAAAAGTGTTCAGCTTTTCACCATTGATAAAGCTGTTTCAACAATAATAATAAATGAATGATCAGAATGTTCCAAGCAGAGGGAACTGCAGAGGCAGAGAGATAGGGGCCATCAACCCAAGTAATTTGGAATAGTGGAAGTCAGGAGAGAAATCAGAAATAAGAAAGTTGATGCTGAAGAGGTAGGCTAGTGATGAACATACGTTATGTCATACTAAGAAGTTTGGATTTAATCCTAAGGAAGAAGAAGATAACCAGATTTGTGTGGCTAGAAATATATCTGGTTGCTATGGTGAGAATAAATTTGATAGGACCCAGAGGTTAATTTGCAATAACCAGGCAAGTTATCAAAGAGATATTTGGGAGAAAGAATCAATAGGACATTGATTGAAGGAAGTAACTTGACCTGACCCTAGATTAGCAGCAGGTACTTTCCGTAGGTACGGACAAAGTGGTTCTCCCTTTTATAGGGCCTAAGTAATTATCCATATTTTCAAGCCCCCGCAAATTCACTTTGGGACTGTACTCTAGACATGGATCTTTGAACAAGATCCAACACTTTTCCTACTGACTGTCTCTGTGGCATGTGGTCAGCTCCTTATAAGCCTAACTTTCAAACATCACCATCTAAAAACACATAATGCTAATACCTGGATATGATGTTCTGACTTCAGAAACTAAGGGATTAAAACTTTTCCTAAAGTAAATTAGGAAAAAGAAATTACAGAATCAGTGCTAGAAATTAGATGGCTAAGCAGCTGTTTAAAAATAATTACCCTCAAGTATATGTAGACCTCTATATAAAAACATACGTTTTTTTAAAATTCTTTCCCTGACTGGGAACAAAATTAGATAATAGGGTCTTAGCCAAGCCAAGTGGTCCCATACAGAATAACTCCTTATATGAAAAATTATTTAACAGTAGAATGGGTCACTAAAGCCAACTGGGCAACTCTTTCTTCAGTCTTAAAGGATAAAGTTTTATATCTCTGGGAAGGCTTTAGTGTGGTGCCAGCAGCTCCTGGGCAGGACAACAAGAACTTCAGCAAACGTGTGCCCAGCATCCTCTTTTGGCCTTTCTCGCATTGGTCAGTGTTCCATAAAGTTCAGCGAGTAAAGGGGCTGTGGCTACATTTCTGTGTGAAAACAGGAACAAATTCCATGCTCATAGGTAGACGCCCTTAAGATACCTACTTGCCACGTTGGAGACAAAGCCCAGACTTCGCTTAAGGTCAGAGCAAATAGAGTGGAGGCACCATCGGAATTTTGCATCACAGCGATACTTGTTGGCACCGCAGGTGTCATAACAGGCATCCAGCTGGTTGCAGCACTTGGTCATTGCTGGAATGCCCAAGTCCATCTGGGGAAAAGAGAAGGAAAAAAATGCCACGTTTAGACCAAGGACCTCAGGCAACCTTGCCCCTGTACTTGACGAGCCAGTTCTCAAATTCCTGTTACATATTCAGATCAATTGAGAAACACCAATGACCTGAGAGAACAGAGCAGGTTGATAGTCACAAGATGCTAAGTTTCAATCACAATTTACTTATCAGTTTAATAACTCTGAATGGCCCATTTTTGCTTTTAGATTTTAGTAATTTTCAAATTCACAGATCTACTACAGTGATGAAAACAGAAATCAGAATGTTAGTCCAGAGAGCAGAGCTTCGGGACTTTCAAATTCAACTAAAACTTACGTGAGATTTTGAGCAAAAGATCCCAAGGCTCAGAATTATGAAAAAACAAAGGCTTTGTTTGTCAAGAGGTCACCAGCATTTCTCAGAGACCCCATATAGCATTGGTTTAATGGTGTGTGTACGTCTGTATGTGTTGGGGAGCAGAGTTAGGTACAGGCCACAGAGTTCCTGAACATAAGGGGACTCTGGTCAAATGACAACATCTAACACACACACCAGACACACATTTATTAAGCATCCTATAAAAATTGTAAATGCTGTGGCATAAACTGAGTAAGTTCATATAATGCCATATGTAAAGTTATCAAACAGGAATTTTTTAGAGGATTTTGAAAGAAGATGAAGAGAGGTTAACTGAAATAAGGGCAGACTTAGAATATAGCAGGTAAAGAAAGGAAATAATAAGCAAGTCCTATTGTAAGTTAATTGATTTAGTCCTGCAAGAGTCTTAGCAGGGAAATACATTCAGAAAAAAATTTCATTAGGGAAAGGGTGATTTGATGGCTGATCTTGACTTCTAAAATAGTTAGATTTGATAAACACTCTTGAGTAAGAATGGGACATGATACAAAGAGTGATCAAAGAAGAGTAATCGTTCCATGGTGTATAAAGTAGATGGGAACAGGCCGTGGCCAGGTGGCTCAGTTGTTAGAGCATCGCCCCAATACATCAAGGTTGAACTACTTCTTAATGATATTTGTATCGGTACACAAAATGACATTACTTCCAAAATATAGTGCATACCATTTCCATAGCTACTAAATTGAAATCAAGTAAAATATATTGGCTGAAAACAGGTGATTTCTGTATATAAATATATATTTGAAATATTGTCTCTCTTCTATGCCAATACACATACTGATTATTGTGGACAAGGCCGGACATACAGCTATGCAGGTTCAGTGCACAAGAGGGTCAAATCTAAGGGGCCCTTTCTTATAAGACATTGTAGATTTATATATTTATTAAGAAAAATGTCTAGCCAATAGCAGTCAAGTTTCCTATCCTAACAAAATCAATATGTTAAGATAAATGTCTGACATATGGAAGAAAACTGTCTTGAGGAAAGGGAACCATTTTCTTTTTAAAAATTTTATTATTATTATTGATTTTAGAGAGAAAGAAAGGAAGAGGGAGAGAAAAATAAAACATCAATGAGAGAGAACATCGATCGGCTGCCTCCTGCACGTCCTCTCCTGGGGATTGGGCCTACAACCTGGACATGTGCCCTGACTGGGAATTGAACTGGAGACCTCTTGGTGCATGGGTTGACTGAGCCACACTTTACATAAAAATGCCACATGGATGAGCAGGATTTTAGTCAGAAGAATAAACACTATGCTGCTTAGAAAAGTATTACAAAGTAAAATCTTTTGAATCATCCATCAGAAAAGTGAAGTTGAGCCTGATTAAGATACAATTCAAAATCACAGTTTCTTTAAATCCTCACCCGAGGACATGCTTAGAGAGAGAGAAACATCCATGTGAGAGAGAAACACCGGTCGGTTGCTTTCAGTGTGCTAGATCAAACCCCAAACCCAGGCATGTGCCCTGACCGGCTCTCCCACTGGCAACGTTTTGGGGCACAGGACAGCACTCAACCAACTGAGCCACTCCCCTGGCCCAAAATCAAAGTTTAGATATGAAATCCCTCTACCTACATTTTACATAAAACCTCTTTTCTAAAGTCATCTTAAAATAAATTTATTACTTGTTTTCAGGGCAGACCGACAGTTTGAGAAATGGTCTACAGTGTGATGATAAATGTTTAGCCAGTGCTGGATGTGTGTGTGGAGGGGGTGGGGGGTCGTTTGCAGGGTTCTAAGATGTTCGATTTGACATGACACGTGAAAAGTCCGACAGTACTGTAGCAATCAGCTCTCCCTGGTCGGTACCAGCTGGTCTAGCCCTGGAAAAGCTCTGTAATTTAAATGTCAGACTTCTCAGGTCTACTTCATGTTGTTGATCCCCTGAAGCTCGGCTGATGTTTGCAATGGTGATTTCAAAGTTCACTTTACAAGGGCTTATCTGAGGGTCAGCTGCCTCCGAGAAAAGGAAAGCAGATGCTTCTTTTAAAAATTATCTGCCTCTGTATCCAATTTAAAACACTTAATCAGATTGCTCACCTGTATTCTCTAAGTGATCACTTCCATCAGTGATAACACTTGAATTTGCCTCAGTTAACCAATCAACTAAGAAAATGATGGTACATACACTTTCTGGTACCTTGAGACCCAGGAAGTAGGAGCTGCAGCCGTTGGGCTCCTGAGGCTTGTAGCCAGGTCTGGGCATTGGTGCCTTTCCTAGCAGAGAAAGAAAGGAAAGAGGCAGGAAGGAATATTTAGAAATTAAGCGTTTAGAAACATTCATGAGATAAAAACGATCTAAAAGCGTATTCAGTTTTTCCTTTAAAAGTCATTGTTCCTCATTAGATATTCACATCTAAACTAGGTGCTGATGATAGTAATGATGATGACAATCTCATAAAAGAGTAAACACCTTCAGACCAGTTTGGCATTTTTCTCCTAATCTCAAAGAATTTTATGAGAATTTATTTACTAACAATCCTAATATTTCTCAAGTGCATGACTTTGAAGATAAGGTGCATGACAAAACCGAACTAAAACTCAAGGTTTCTTATTCTCTATCCACTGTATGGATACACTCCTTGCACAGAAAAAGGAAAACACTACCTGATCATACACTTCAGGAATCAGAACTGTAACAGTACTGCAACATTTCTTCCAGAATAACTTGAATGAAATTTTTCAAAATTCCATAAATGTAGACAAACCATTATTGCCTCTAATTAGGCATTTCCACCACAGAACTAAGCAGAAACTATCTGAAAAGCTGTTCATTTCTTGGTTTCTCTCCTACATGTCTTTTGAGTTATTTTATGATCTTGGGAATACATACAAGGAAACTTTGTCAGTTGTATCAATGGTAGTCGTCATAAAAATAACTTTGACCTGCAATGACCTCAGAATAGTCATCTCCAGTGATTTTTTTTTTTTTAATTCTCACCTGAGGACATTTTTCCATATTTTGTTCAGATAGAGTGGGGGGGAGGGCAGAGAGAAAGAGAGAGAGACATCGACGTGAAAGGGACACATCGAGTGGCTGCCACCCACACGACCCAACCAGAGCTGGGGACAAACTGTAACCAAGGTACATGCCCTTAGCAGGAACAGAACCCTGGTCTCTCTGGACCACAGGCTGACACTCTAACCGCTGAGCCAAACTGGCCAGGACGCCAGTGAGTATTTTTATCTATGACCTAAATAGGGAAAATGGGGCTGAGAGGTTGTGTGACTTGCTCAAGGCCTATAATAAGGGGGAAGTAGGATGTGAATCCAGATTTCTTATTTGTCTCCAAAGCCCATGTTCTTTCTCCACATTCCTTTGTCTCCTCGTAGGAGATGAAAGACAGCACAAGACTGAGGAAATAAGCTAAGAATGAATCCTCACAGTGAGCCATATGGCACGTCTATTTTCTTTCTTGTCTTTGTTCTTCTCCTATCAGCTATTTTATTTTAATTGTTATTTTTATTATGAAATTTCAAAACTAAAAAAATTAAGAGAAACAAACATCCATGAACCCACTACACAAACATAATAAAGGTTAACATTACCAAACTTTCTATGAATATTTTTTCTGTTTAATTAAATGCTACAAGTACTGTTGACGCCCCTTCATACCCCATTCTCCTATTTCTATTTTTAAATCCTGAGTCTGTGCTCTAATCATTCCCTTCTTATCATTCCTCAAAATTGTCTTGATTGTTTTTGGACCTTCACTCTTGCATATGAATTATAAATTCTATAAAAGATTGTCAGAATTTTGCCCTAGCCAGTTTGGCTCAGCGGTGAGAGCCAGGTTTGGTTCCCGCTAAGGGCACGTACCTCAGTTGCAGTTTGTCCCCATCCCTGGTTGGGTCATATGGGTGACAGCCACTCGATGTGTCCCTTTCACGTCAATGTTTCTCTCTCTCTCTCCCCCCCTCCCACTCTATCTAAACAAAAAATGGAAAAATGTCCTCAGGTGAGGATAAAAAAGATTGTCAGAATTTTGCTTGAACATACATTGAATTTATAGATTAATTTGGAGACAACTGACTTTCTTAGAAAGTCAACTATGGCATACTATAGCTTTCCATTTACTTAAGTCTTCCTTTACGTCCTTCAATAGAGTATTGTAATTTTCTCCATGCATTTACTATATCTCCTACATAGTGGACTATTCAGATACTTACACAGTGTAGGACATCTCGTAAAAACCAAACATTAAGAACCATAAGGCCGGTATAGTAAATACATACTTTCCTGGAACCCAGGCTGCTCCTAGCTTTCTGCCCTGCCAGCTCTAGAATGAAACCCTGGCTTTCACGCTCCAAGATGGAGCTTCAGCCAACACATTCATACGGTAAGCAGCCTGTGGAAGAAGGAAGTAGAAGATCCACAGCCCCCCTCTTTAATAAACACACTCCAGAATATTACACACATCACTTCCTCTTTCTTCCTTTGGCCAGACCTTAATCAAATGACAACACCTAGTTGCAAAGGTGGGCAATGGAGGTATTCATGAGCCCAGGTTAAAGTTGGGAGGAGGGCCTCATTACTATAAGAGACAGAAGGATGTTGGAGGACAGTAGCAGTCTCTGCCACAGTTGGTCTGGGTATTTGCTGCTGTGGTACCATGTGTGTAAGATGGTGGTTCGAGATGGCTCCCAATGGTTCCCGTCTCCTGGTATTCACACCTTTATGGATTGTCCCCAGGTTGTCTCTGTGACCAAGAGACTATGGCAGAAGTGGAGGTATGTTGCTTCCAAGATTAGGTTATAAAAGATTACAACTTCTGTCTTGGGTTTGCATGCATGCTCTCTCTCAATCTTTCTCATCACTCACGCTGAGAGAAACCATGTTGCGAACAACCCCATGGGTTTGAGATATACTTTACACATTATACATTCACTCATTTAATGTGTATCATTCAATGGATTTTAGCATACTCCCAGAGTTGTGTGACCATTACCACAATCTAATTTTAGAACATTTTTGTCATCCCCAAAGAGACCCCATACCCATTAGCAGTCATTCTCTGTTTTCCCCTGGCCTAGCCCTAGACAGCTGTTATCAGACATTCTGTCTCTTTCAATGTGGCTATTCTGGACATTTCACACAACTGAAATCATACAGTATGTGGTATTTTGTATTTGGATTCTTTCACTTGCATAATGTTTTCAAGGTTCATCCGTATTGTAGTATGTATTAGTACTTCATTTCTTTTATTGTCAGAAAATACGATGGACATTTAGGTTATTTCTGCTTTTTGACCACTATGAATAATGCTGCTACAAACATTTGTATACTGGTTTTGTGTAGACAATATATTTTCATTTCTCCATAGGATTAAAGTTGCAGTGTCATATGGTAACTCTACTTAACATTTTGAAGAACTGCCAGACTTTTCTGAAGTGGTGGCACAATTTTACACTTCCACCTGCAGAGTATGAGGGTTCTCATTTCTCTCCACCCTCACCGACACTTGTTATTATCTGTCTTTTCTTATTATAGTCACCCTTGTGGGTGTGAAGTGGTATCTCATGGTAGTTTTGATATGCATTTCTCTAATGACTAATTTTATGTGCTTATTGGCCACTCATTTATCTTCTTTGAGAAAATGTCTAAGTCTTTTGGCCATTTTAAAATTGGGTTATTTGCTTTGTTGTTTTTGTTGATTTGTAAGAGTTCTTTATATATTCTAGATAAATATGTCTTGTCAGATAAATCATCTGCAAATATTTTGTTGTGTGGCTTTCACTTTCTTAATGGTATTCTTTGAAAAACAGAAGATTTTTGTTGTTGTTTTTTTGTTCTTTTTGTTAATCCTCACTCAAGGATATTTTTTCCATTGATTTTTAGAGAGAGAGAGAAAGAAACATCAATGTGACAGAGATACATTGATTGGTTGCCTCCCGCATTCACCCTGGCCGGGGCCGGGGATCGAACTTGCAAACCAGGTATGTGCCTTTGACTGGGAATCTAACCTGTGACCCTTTAGTGCACGGGATGAATCTCTAACTACTGAGCAACACTGCCCAGGGCTGAAATACAAAAGTTTTTCATTCTGATGAAGTCTAAGTTACCTATTTTCTTTTTGATGAGGTGAAATTCACATAATATTAAATTAACCATCTTCAAGTGGCATTCAGTACATGCACAATGTTGTGCAACCATCCCCTCCACCTAATTCCAAAACTTTCATCATCTTCCAAGGGAGGCTCCTTGCCCATCATGTAGCTAGTCCCTGATGTCCCCTCCTCCCAATCCCTGGCCACCACTAATCTGCTCTCTGTTTCTAGAGATTTACCGATTCTGGATATTTAAATAAATGGAATCATACAATATGGAACATTTTATGATGGCCTCCTTTCACTTAATGTCTTCATGGCTTATCTGTGTTGTAGCATGTTTCAGTACTTCATTCCTTCCTGTGGCTGAATCCATTCTCTGGAAATACACAGTCTGTTTATTCATCCATCCATTGGTGGACATGTTGGTTGTTTCATGCTTTTGGCTATTGGAAAAAGTGCTGTAATGAACAATTGTGCATATGTATTTGTTTAGATATCTGTTTTCAATTCTTCAGGGTATATAAACTGAAGGAGTGGAATTACTGGGTCATATAGGAATTCTATGCTTAACTTTTTGAGAAACCTGTTTTCTTCGGTAGCTGCATCACTTACATTCCTACCTGCAATGCACAAGGGTGCCAATTTCTCCAGGGTCTTCACAGTTTCACTGCAATGTATATAGATGTAAATTATATATCCTTATCCTGCTTGGAACAATCTGAAGATTCCGGTTTCTTTGACCTCTGGAGAATTCACAGCCATTGTCTGAATATTTTATTTTCTTCATTCTCTCTAGTTTCACCTGCTGGGCCTCTTATTACTGAACGATGAATCTTTTTAATCCTAGGCTTCATATAGCCTAACCTCTCTTTCATATTTTCCATTTTTTTCCTTTCTGAATTTTGACTAGCTTCATCAAATCTGTTTTCCATTTTCCTAATTCACTCTAGGTTAACTAATCTGCTGTTTAACTTATCCACTTAATTTTTTCTTTCAATGACTATACTTTTCATTTCTTAGAATTCTATTTAATTCTTTTTAAAAATATGTGTATTCATTTTCATTGAGTTCTTTTTATTATGTTTTCTATTCTGATTTTATTTCTTTAGTAATTTCAAATACTCTTGTTATATTATTTATATATATATGTTATATTCTTATTTTCT